TCCCTCCACCCCCTTCCAGCTCCTCCCCCCGCGCTGGGTCCCCTTGGCCAAGGTCCCTCGGGAGCTGCCAGTGATGGCTGAGATCTCCAGGAGCCGGGGCAGGAGAGACCCCCCGGCACCACGGCGCAGCCCCCGCCCGGCGCAGGCATAGAGGAGGGGGTTCATGGCACTGCTGAGGAAGGCCAAGGCAGTGGCCGGTGGCCGAGTGGCCTTGGCAGCCGCCTTCAAAGTCCCACCACCTCCTTGTAGGACCATTGCCACCTCCAACAAGCTGGCGAGATGGTAAGGGCCCCATGCAATGGCGAAGGCCACCACCACAGCAGCCACCAGCCGGAAGGTACGACTGCGCCGGGCCAAGCGGGTTTGGTGTAACCGGTGGACCAGTAACCCATAGCCAGTGGCTATAGCAGTCAATGGTAGAGCCCAACCCAAGATGGTCTCCAGAAGGTTGTGGACCACCAACCAAGCCTCCGTGCTGTGCACCCGCTGGCAGTGCCCATCCTTCACCCTTCGGAAGACGATGGATGGGATGGCCAACACCAAAGCAACCAACCAAGTCACTGCAGCTGCTCCATGAGCCAACCGTCTGGCACGACCACCCGCCGTCACCACCGCCGTCACTGGCCTGGAGACTGCCACGCACCGATGGAGACCCAGAAGAGCGATGAGGAAGATGCTGACATACATGGCAGTGGCAGCAAGGTAGTGACACCCACGGCAGACGGCCAAGCCCATGTCCCATTGGCCAACACTCAAGGCCCGGAGGTAGACAGGACCAGTGAGGAGGGTGACCACATCGGCCAAGGCCAAGTGGAAGATGAGGAGGACGGGGACACTGCGACGGCGGGTGATGGCGAAGCTCCAGAGGACCATGGCATTGCCTGGCAGCCCCACCGCCAATGCCACCGACAGCAGGGTCAGTCCCACCGCTGCGCCGGGGACGGGGGCAGCTGTGGTGTTGGGAGGGGATGAGGCATTGGCAAGGGATGAGGACATCGTGGTGGTGGGTGGGGGGGCTGTGGGGAGAGGGGCACACAGAATCCTCCGAAGAAAATGCAGGTCTCCCTCCGTCCATCCCTCCATCCATCCCTCCATCCATCCCTTCCTCCTTCCCCCACCACCTCTCCATCCCGCCATCCCTTCTTCCATCCCACCTTTCCTCTCTCTCTCTCTCCTTCTCTCCATCCCTCCAACCCACCTCCCATCTCACCCCCTCCCGAGGGGCCCCCCCTTTCTCATCCATCCCACCACCCCTCCTTCCTTCTCCCCACTCTTTGAGGTCTCCTCCTCTTCTTCCTTAACCCATCTCAGCTCTTTCCCACCAACTTAACATTTCCCAGACCTCCCAGCTGCCCCCCAGTCCTCCCAGTGGGCCATCCCCCGTTTGCCCCCCCATCAAA